AAATTTTAAAAGAGACGTTTTAACCATAAAACATTATTTACGTTGCAAACTATTTAGTTTAACTATTTTGGTAAAATATTTATTGTTCAAAGAAAATGTGGAGTGTATTACACATTTTTATAAAATGTACGAGCGTCAATTAATATCATAACGACGTCAGTATTAATAATATTTCAAGAAAATATTTGAGCGAAATATGATATATGATGGTAACGGTGGTTGATCAATAAAAATTGTTAAAACTAGTCGTATTAAGATTGTTAGGGAATGGTAATCAATTTAATTACGATTATTTAATATGATTAGGAATGGTATAAATTATCATGTAGGTTGCCGTTTTGATAGAACGACCTATCGAACGTTAACGATTCAAGGTAAGTACATTATGCAATTTTTATGGGATATATACATAATTATTACAAAGTATTTTATCCATGATATTTGCATGATGTGTTTATATGCATATGATGATAACTTGATTGTATTGATGTACATGATATTTAAGTATRTGCATGATATGAAADATGATGTKGATGAGAAAGATTATGATGACTTGATATTATCAATATGATATTCAAGTATGTGTATAATGTGAAAAATGAYRATGATGCATATGTGATTTATGTTGTCACTTGCATGAGATGTATGTTGCATGTCACGATGAAATTTGCATTAATGAGTGAGTATTGCAAATAAATGATATGCAACTAGTATGATTCGGCAAGATCCGTCCACCGTACGGGGTGGGTTGGACATGAGAGAAGAGCTTGCAATTTCGAGGTTTTGGAATCCTCGTCCATATAATACGTCACATACACAAAGAAAAGTGACGAGCTGAGGCCTCACTTGCAAGATAATAACTAAAATACATCAAAACACTGTTTAAAGGTGCATGTGATCATGAAACCATATTGTATTCATTAAGATTTTAGCTTATAATATACATGTATATATCTCATGTGTCAATTGTCAGTAGACGAGTTGAATGAAGAAAGACGAGACTATGTTTTAAATCATGTTTGATTAGATATTTTAATTAGCATTAATTTACGTTAAAGTATTTTACGTTTCCACAGTTATGTAACGAATTATGTTAAACACATTATGCATGTTTGAATTTTCACGTTCGTATTTTATTCATGACATAGGTTCTTTAGAATGATGTCACGGCACTCGAACGAAAGGGAAAAAAACGGGGTGTGACAATAAACAGTCTCAATAGTATGGGTTTGTATATTAATACAACCAATTAATAATTATTTGAACTTTAAAAAGTTAATTAATAAACAAATTTCAAATTTTATTTTGTTAATTTAAATCTCAATTTACAATAAAATATTGCATTAAGTTGTATCTCACAAGTACACAATTAGTATTATAACAAACACACACATCTATATATATATATATATATATGTGTGTGTGTGAGCGATCAAATAAAAACCACTCCAATTTGTAAAAATCATAAAAACTACTCTCATTCGTCGATTTTATTGTTTAATCTTATGAAATTTTTTCATGAAATTGTTTAATCTTGAGAAATTGTTTCATATAATACTTTTTTTGATGAAGTTGTTTCATATATGGTTATGAAATTGTTTTATATACTACTTAATGAAACTGTTTCATGTATTTCTCTAAAATTAATGAAACTGTTTCATGTATTTCTCTAAAATTAAAATAATGAAGATGATAATATCCATGATTAACATCATCCACAATAAAAATGATTAATCAATCTCTCATAATTACAAAAAAATAAACAAAATGAAAAATTATGATTAGTTGAATGAAGTTTGTACGGTTTGTACAAATTAGGTGGTTTTTATTTGAACGCTCCCCTATATATATATATATATATATATATATATATATATATATTCATAGGTTCAAATGAGAAGTCTCAAATAAGAGAAAGAGAGAAGTCATCCTAACTCTTCCATTAAAAAAATTAACGGTCGAGATTTGGTCGCATGGTAACAATTATGCGGAAGATATCGGGGTTGGGTAGTTTCGTAACTTTTATAACTACAACAGAATAGGCGGCAAACAAATAATAATATGTACATATTTGAACTCGTATGATTCACATATGAATTATATATGCATATGTGAACTCGTGTGATTCACATATGAACTATTTAATTGATTCACATATTAAATTATAGATTCTCATATAATATCAATTGTTTTTGGGTCCTCTTTACATGTGAATTGACTAGACAGTCACAAAATGAAATAGTAATGCATATATTAAGCTAGTTTAGTTCATATTCTCGTTATTCGCATATGTGAACTCAATTGAATTTGTTGACATTATATGTTGGAAAACATATGCACACCAAAAAAAATGATTAACCTGAATATCCAATCCGCTATGCGAGCCGACTAATCCCAGGACGACCACCTGCTATGCAGATAGCCTGGAGTCACCGCATTTGAACCTCCGTAGCCACAGAAGAATTTTTATTCCTTCTTAGATTTAAACTTGTGACCTCCTGATATTTTTGACCTTTATAGACAAGCTCAAACCAATCAAGCACCATCCTTATGATTTGCACACCAAAATTTTGATGTTATGTCACAATGAACAACATAGGTGAGTTGCTCGTAATATATGGTTATTGGGATATATTACGTGTTATCATTACTATTTTTTAGATGATATTTTTTTTTTAAATCATGTTTCATAAAAACTTAATTAAATTTTTTTGTCGTATGTTAATAAATGTTATGTTCAGTTTTGTATCAACAAAAAGCGCATCTAGTGTAGTGGTATCATAGTACCCTCCCACGGTACTGACCGGGGTTCGATTCCCCGGATGCGCATTTTTTATCAAGTTCTACTCGTGATTTTTTCTTATTTCAATCCATATTTGGTTTGTTGGATTTTTCGGATTTAAAATTCTATGATTTAATTGAATCCTACAAACATGGGATTTTGAAATCCTTATGGGGTGTTCGGGATTTTGTAGGATTGTATACAATAAGGTTTTAAAAAATGTTAAAACATTTGTTTTGTAATAATTGATTAATAAAAAAGTAATTTAATTATTTATAAATAATGGAATCTAAATTCATTCCAACCCCTACAAACCAACACACTAATGATTTCAAATACATTCTCATCCAAATCCTTCCGTAAAATTCAAATCACTCAAAAACAATCCTGCAAACCAAATGGACCCTAATATTTTTTTATCGGATGATGGGAATTTGAAGCTGTCTCCAGACCCATTGTGTATATCGACGACACAATCCCAGTTTCCACATATCTGATCGGACCTCAATTTGAAGCCTTTTCTATCGAATTTGCTTTGGTGTCATAAGTTGAATTCTTGACATAAACTTTGCTCTGGGAGAAGTGTGTAATTGGGGGTCAGTTGGTGATTACTTGAAAGAGTTAATATTTTAATAAACATATTTAATAGTGTAAGATCCAAAACGAAGAGCTATAGAATCGAATGTAACTTTGTTTTAAAATTTTTGATCAGTAATTCTCTATTTTTTCTAAAAATGTTGAAGAATCTGTTAACGACGTGAAACTTAAAAATGATGTATTCGCTTCTAATTTGTACAACTCGCTCGAAAAGCAACGTGTACAGGTGTTAATGCACAATGTACAAACACCTCAACAGATTGTTAAAATTAGAAAGAAAAAATTTAATGGGGTGAGAGAGGCTCGAACTCTCGACCTCAGGATCACTCAGTAGCTATGAGACCTACGCGCTAGCCAACTGCGCCACCACCCCTTCTGTGTTTTCTCACCACACCAAATATACATAAACTACTCCACCAAGTTGGACAACCATAATCGACAAAATCGACGGGCCCGGATTTGTTCGTTAAAATTAACGGGCGGACATGGACAATGTAAAAATAAATATGGACAGACCCGTCCGGTCCGTTTATGTTCTGTAATTAATATTTTTTTACTATTAATTAAAATTATACTAGTATATTTTAAAATTAAATTATTGAAGTTATAGGATGAGAGTTGGGACTTTTGGTTTTTCTTGAGAACCCAAAAGGCTCTACATTATCTTTGTTAGCACCCTTATGTCAAAAGTCCTAATCGATCAACGATAAATAGAGTCAGTAGTTGTTTAAAGTTTTCATTGCAACGGTGTTTTCTTTTACTTTTTGGTTCCACATTTGTTAATTAAGAGCTATACTTTTAGGCCCGTTAGCCCGTGAGCAAGCCCCGCCCGTTTATAGGGCGTTCAATGGCAAGTTGTCAAGCCCCAAAGAAAAGGCTTGGGTTTACAATATTAAGTCCGGTGGAAAAAAATAACAAGTTAGATCAGACCCGCAAATGATCACCTTTAATTCAAATTTAAATTTAGATTAACAATGATTGCAAAATTATTTACGACGATGATTTAAATCCGCAAGCAATAAACATTTTAGATATTCATTTGTTAGTCGGTCCTTTTAAAAGGAAAAGGAATTGAATTTAAGAGGAACATTGGGTCACTATCGACACGGGTGTCTTTGTTCTGTGTGTCATTCATATCAAATCAAGTCAAATTATATATTAAAAATGTAAAAAGTAAGGTTTGATATAAATATATTTGAGAAGCACTTTAGTAGGACAGATGCATTGAGAAAGGAAAGTTATAGAGAAGCATAATTAAGAAGAGATCTTTACCCTTAGATCAATCCTAATTGAATCTCAACATTAATGAGATATACCAGATCAATTCCTTTCTAAAGCGTAATTCATGGAAAGCTATGACATTAAAATTGATCAAGGGTTCAAATCTCTTCTTACTTTTCTCACCATAACTTCTCTTCTCATACAATCCTTCGTCAAGTGTGCATTTAGCCTGGAATTGTCAAGTCTTTTAGAGCATCTTGCGGCTCGAACCACAAAACCAATTTCATAAAAGAGACACGATATTGACTCTATTTGATCCCGATAAGTTTTGTTAAAGACTATAGCAAGCCCAAAGAGGTGAAAAGAACTAAGCACATATGAGATATATGCAAGTTTTTTGTCATGTTACAAAAGATGGGTTTCTTGTCGTATGGGGTAAAACCGTGCTAGATGTTGTTGCGTGTACAAACTATGGCCAACTTCTATGAGCATTTTATGTAACGATCAGTGTTTAAACGAGCTAATATTATATGTACAGGTGAAGTTAGTAACTCATTCACGAGACTCGACAACAGGAACACTAGTGTAGCTGAAACTTTGATTCTCAGTCTCCACACCATTTGCTTTTCGCTTGCTCCATGATACTTTCCATATCTGCAGCAAGCTTACCCTGCAATTGAGTCACGTCGAAATGCATTATTAAATATTTTGATAAGGTATAAAAAGAAATTAACATGTGATTATGGTATGTGGGTCCCATTTGCTGGAAAAGAAACCGTATATCTCACTCAAAACTAGGATATGGGGATTGGGGTTGGGATGTATGCACACTTGACCTTTACGCCAAAAAGGTAGGAGTCAAAATGTGCAAAAATGGGGAATCTAAATGGAGGGACATCAAGACTAGCAGGCTATGTTAGGGGTTGAGCTGTTGAGGAGGTATGTTTTTGCATGCATCTTTCCGCAAAGAGCCCCTTTACATGCTTAACCTTTTGATTATAACTGAGTAACCATGCTCGGTGCTTCAAGACTCGCCCCATTGCGTCATCTAAAATGCCTACAACAAAATGCAATAATCTCTTTTTTTGGGTAATTCTGTTGGCCCAAGCTAGTTTGCGTGCACCTCGACTAATCACACAGGCCCGTGAAGATAACAACCAGGAAAATCCTTAGTTGCACCAACGAGACACCTGGCAACCTATGGGAAGGAGCGGCAAGGCCTAGCATTTATTTACCGATTGAGCTGGCCCTCAACCTTAACAATCTTTTCGTTTGGTTATAGAGGAAAACTATCATGTAGCTCGTTTTAGGTTGTGTAAATTAAGCTACAGCAGTATCCAAGCTACCAATATTTCGTCACAGTTTTGCTATACTGACGTATAGCATTTGGCTCATTCTCGGATTCTTGAACTGATTTCTTGATCCGTGTATTAGAAAATAATTGTACAAGTGGTGGACCATGCATGCAGGAGTATTTGAGGACTTGGAGCTAACAATAGGAAAAATCCAACACAAAAGTCATGATCTAATTAAAAAGTACACAAACTGCATACGTACTGAAGAACCTGAAAATACATTCCTTCAATTCAAATCGGAATCATGAAAAATAAAGAAACTATACCTCTCGGTTATGATATCCCTCTTTGCAAGCATTAGTGTCAAGAATACAGGAACCATTGCAGCACACAGATGCTTGAGAGTGTGTCCACTAACTATATGATGAGTCCAGTTGTAAATTGTATCATCTGCAGCTTCTTCAACCTTAGCTAGGAGATAAAATCCTGCAAACCATTGAAACATCATTAACATTCTAGAAAGTGTGCAACTATTTTCAAGCACATGCGAAAGACTAAGCATGATATCAAACCTGCAGCCCATAGCCAATATGAAGAGTGTGTGTACATTGGAGGCAGCATGATGGCCATCACTGGAATTGCAATGCAAGGTACGAACTGAACCAAGGCATATGGTCGGAGATCATCAAAATACCTATCAGAAGAGAAGAGAACAGTCGGTGATGACCATGTTCACAAAAAAATCACCTCACAATTTGCAAAAAGCAATGGGAGAGCCAACGATATTCGGGTTGCCGGTAAATCCCAACCTCCATGGAGATCAAGGGTCCAAGCCTCACCAAAGGTGAGGAATGTGTGTGAGTTTTGCAGTATATGAATGTTATATACTTCAAACAAGAATAAGTGGGAGAGCCAGGTTAAATATTTTGTTCAATAACAGCAAGCATATCATCCCAAAGAGTTGGGATAAAACACCATAGATCAGGCTCGCCAAACTTTTCAACGGGCGAATTTGACTTGGGCTTGTCATAGTTCAAGCATGCGTAACCCAATGTCGTTAGCCTGTGAGAGACTTCAATCGTAGTTTTTCTAGAAAGGATTTGGTGATAGTTTTATTGAAGGGATTTACTTTCAATCCTCTACAAGCTCACAAGAACCAATATAAGCCCATACAAACTAGGTCTAAACGAACCAAGCCAGGGTTTGAGCTTATACAACCAAGCTGGACCAAGGCTTGTGGCAAGCAAGGCCCAACCTTTTCCAAGCTACAAGTGAAGCCTCCGCCTACCAATTTTTTACAACCTGAGCTGCCACGGCTTAAATGGAGAAAATGCTTCACAGTTAAGGCGCAAAATAACATTGCATTTAATTCTACAGCCACGCTTGATATAGCACAGGAAAAACCATTGTACCTCATACCAATATCAAATCATCTCCATACCCCTATGCAGTTTCCCTACTTATAATTTATGGTTTCAATGCCTTGACATGAGAATAAATAGAAATGGCACCCATAAAACAGGGATGAGAAATGGAGGAAATATGGCTAAAGGAATGTAACCTAATTTTATCAAGTAAAAGAATATGCTTACCTCCAAAATAAAATGCTTACTACACCAACCAACAGCAGGGGAATGATGGAGAATGTTCCCTTCCGCTCATCGATTCTTTCAATGATAAATATTGCAATAATAGAAGTGAATGCAATTGTCATCTGTTAAATCAAATCAAAAGTATGGATAACATGAGAATGTAAGCTGGAAGCTAGTGTATATACATTGAGCTATAATAATACTGAATGAAAATTCTCACAGGCAAACGATCCCAAACAAGGGTCGCATCGTTCGGTTTGAGATGATAGTAAGAGGATCCAAAACCAACAGCAGCCACACCAATGTAAAAGAATGTCCAACCACAAAGTTCACCTTGCAGACTTAGGTAAGAAATATAAACTATCACCTAGTTAGTAGTTACAATGCCGAAAGATTGAGAGTGGCAAAACTAAAGATTCGTGGTATATAAGTTAGATCCAGAAACATACCTCAACTTAAAAAAGTTCCTATAATAGCAAAGTATGAGCCCTATGACACCAATAATGAAGAATGGCACATTTGAAATGACATTCAAAGCATTGGGTATACCTGAAAGTAGGAATATCAAGTTTATAAGAGATGTAAACAATTTGCAATTGATTAACCGTATACAACATGATAAGAAAAAGTGCATAATGCAACGGAATCAGTGCTCAGGTGTATAAGTATCCAGTATTTATTAGTAAGCAACTCATCGTGACTATTCTCATTTTCACAGTCAATAATAGGCCTGTTTGCGGAATGACATGTTCTATAGGGAGGCAACAGTTAGGATCATCAGAGCCCCTTCTAGGGGACCATTACATACTGAGAATGCATATTTAGAAATCTCAGGTAAATAGTAAAGATGTAAGTAAGTAAGCTTTGTTTGGTTTCCCCAACAGGACCCTAATCACATCTGCTTCTAATAAATCACACACTTCCCAATGGTACCAGATGAAAAAACTTCACATGTACTCATCATTAAACTGGTGGAATCATATAGTATCTGAACATTTGGAAATAAACCAAAATGATAAATGAAGTTGCTCCAAGAATGAGCACACCTACAAACTCCCACGCCCCAAAATAAAAATCCAGGTCAAGAATCAGAAGGGAGCTTACTTAACCACAATGATGATAAACAACCTAAAACAAAGGAAAATTGACCAAAAGGGAACTTAACCAATAAGAAATAAACATGACTCAGATGAATTCTAGAAACTCAATTAATGATGAACATAAAAACTATGTAACACTCGACTCCCTTTGTTCAGAAAAGTATTTGGCATTGGATGTTAATTAGATGATTTTTCAACTCAAAATTGTAATGAACTTCAAATTTCTGATAGAGCTGCAAATTATATCAAACTTCAATATGCAAAATAAGTAAAGATAAAAGTCCATACTAAAATTAGGTTTGGCATTGAAGGACAAAGTACAGGTCTTTTCTCCTAACAGATTAGTCTCATTCATCCGTAGAATGAACAACTAATTTATACTTCTTTTCAATACTATCAACAAATCATAACAACAGAAAATTAAAACAAAATGATGTATCAACAACAAATTTGCTCTGTTGCGAAGCTTTAAGAACAGAAGGAGTTGAATTCGCTACTTAAACACTGATGAAATTAAAAGTTATTTACCCAAGAATTCACGTTGATCGGCGAAATCATGATACTCCTGATCTTGAGGGATTGCCGGAGTAACAAACATCAACACTACGAAGCATACCATCGCGACTATCCATACTATTACAGTCCGATTTGCCATAACTACTGCTACTTGTATGAGTACAAGATTTGGGGAAAGAAAACGAAGGAAGCAGATGCTCTGAAAGAATGTTCGATCACCAGCGAGATGGTTATCAGAGATGGAGATTCGTGGGCGACGTTATCAGTAGACTATTCTATTCTCATTGTTTGGTGTAATAAAGGGGAAGTAAGGGGGTGAAGGTGTAATATTCTATATTTAGTGGACTAAATTGTAATTTGTTCTTTTTGATGTTATCATCCAATTATCACATAACCACCCTCTACTTTTTGTTTGTTTTCATTTACCCTTTAAAATATATCTCATACAACTTTATATTATAAAGTACAGTTTAGATGTAACGTTATTATAAAATGCATGATCACAAACTCCTTCTAACAATAAGGACATGTTTGTTATCAGTTTAATAGAACTTACAGCTATTCGGTCAGTTATACATAACTGTTTGGTAGTGGCTTAATGACATCGAAAATGGCTTATTCAGTAAGCTTCTTGGGGGATCTTTATACAAAAAACCAAGTTTTTTTTTCAAATTTGTCCCTCCCAATTGAAAACACGCTACTTCCATCTATGAAAAATACCTCTCAGGCAAAAATCTTCCTAATCTATGCAAAAAGATTAATCAACATAGACAGCTTTATCCATAGAAGACCTAATAGAAAACCAACCAAACAGCCCTTAACTGAACACCATTCTAACTTATTGTTCCCTAAAATTTTGAAGACCAAGAACATCCCTCCTCCTCAGGGCCGTCCCTGGGGAGGGCGGACCGGGCATACGCCCGGGGCCCATAAAAATTAGGGGCCCAATTTTTTTAATATATATAATAGTAGTTCAAAAAAATTAGTAAATAGAAGAAACATAAAAAATAGTATCTAATATGACAATAAAATATTTTTGTACTACATTAACTATTAAAGACTCAAACATGTATGAATTAAATATATTGGAGAAAAAAATACATAAGGATGTTAATTTGTCGTTCATTATATAATATTATTTAATATTTTTCTAAGTTTTTTTAATTTAAGACCGACAAAATTTATCTCCCATCGACTCTTTTGATTGTTTCATTCTCGCGTGAATTCTATTTTTATATTAGAATATGATAGATTTTTTTTGTTATTAGCTAACAAAACCCCCATCTTTTGAAAAAATTACCAATCATATAAAACGGTACAACTTATATCTATATTTAGAATAACAAAACTATAATTGTTTTTTCAGGGTTGTTTTTTATTATATAATATTTAATGTATAAATCTTATGTACTATTCTATCTTTAAAAAAAAATAAGATCTCAAACTATCACCAACATGAGTTTTTTAATTTATATAATCGATGATTTCAGAAAAGTTTGTTTTAACCCTAACTCTATGTCCTTAAGTTTTCTTTTACGTAGGAAAGAGAGGAAAGTAACGAGAAAGAAAAATATTATGTTCTCAAGATTTTTTTTAAGGAAAGAAAATGAAAGAAATTATATCAAAATTTATTTTTATTTCATTATTTTTCCTCCCTCTCTCTTCTTTATTAAAAACACAAAAAAAAAAAAAAACTTTATTTTTCTTCTTTCTTTTTTTTTATTTTCCTTTCTCATTTTTTATTTCCTTCCCAAATTCGAAAACATAATATAAAAGTTTAAAATGGTGTTAATCTTCTCAAATTTTAAAACATAGTATAAAAGTTTAAAATTGTGTTAATCTTCCCAAATTCGAAAACATAATATAAAAGTTTAAAATGATGTTAAAAAACATTAACATAAGATGACATGGAAATCAACCTATTTACATTGATTTACATAGTGTCACACGGAAATAAGAAGAATCGACTTTGTGACTCCAAATGATATCATTCTATGTACCAAAAGTATATCATAGGATGTTTTTGATGATGAAACAAATTAATGATGCTACATAAATGTTCTAGTAGATAATATTAATTTAGAAATGAGTATTGGTTGATTCTGCATCCAGGAATACTCGGAAAAACGGTTTTATATGAATTAAATGTTATTTCTGATGATAAAAACAATATATTGAAAAAATATCGTACTTATTGAGGGCCCCTTTTTACATCTTGTCCAGGGCCTAAAAATGTCAGAAACGGGCCTGCTCCTCCTTTAAATCCAATTCCATCGATCCATTGTGAACACCAAGAACATAGATTCATCTTCACTCATGTGTCATATCTAAAAGTGTTGCAATAAGTTTATAGAACACTTTTGGGCATTTTAACAGGTTTTTTAGGACGTTTTTAGTACAAGACGTTCAATTAACAATTTTATATGACACTATTTGAAAAATGTTCTATAAAAAGATCAGTTTATATGACCCTTTTTCAAAAGTGTCTCATAAAATTGCTAATGTTACATTTGTATTAAAGGTGTCATAAAAACATTGTTAAGACGCTTAAAAGTGTTCTATAAACTTATTACAACGCCTTTAGATATAACGCTTTAATTTTTGGCCTTATAAATTAGGTCCTATAAAGTGGTCTATTAAGACGCTTAGAAATCAATGATGTCCTATAAATCTAGCTTTGTTGTAGTGATTTTCACTGTTGATGTTTTATGTCATGTTCTAATCTTAGCAAACACTATATAGATAAAAAGTCATGTTCAACCCACTCCAATCTTAGTCATTGACTAGTCCACTTATTAGACGTAGCCTCATGAAACATTCACCATCTCTTACATTCTTCAACTGTAATTCCATCAATTGTATTGTCTCCCCATCTCTCTTCCAACATACATGTGAAAAAAAAAACGGTAGTTGTATATATTGTGACGATATTGTTGTTTGCATACTCGATGTGTTTTTCGAATATTGTTGAATAAGACATTTTATTTCCATTTTGCCTACTGTCACGGATAATTAGTTCACTGCTTGTTTTGTCATCATACTATTAAATTCTTGTTATATCAGTGTTTAAATATATAATCGAATTTAATTATGAAGCTGACATTTTAGCTCGTGTTTTGAGGCAACCTATTTTGTTGCATTGATAGTAGTGATTGCAATATCCATCCATTCAAACCACAAGGGTGGTGCCTGATTGGTTTGAGCTTGGCTCCAAAGGTCAAAAGTACCAGGAGGTCCCATGTTCAAATCCAAGTAGGAATAAAAATCCTTTTGTGGCCACGGAGGTTCAAATGCGGTGACTCCGGGCTATTTGCAAAGCATGTGGTCACCCTGGAATTAGTCAGCTCGCATAGCGGGTTGGATATCCAGGTTAATCAAAAAAATTTCCATCCATTCATTAATTTGGCACTTGGGTTTTCTTTTCAGCTATTATATTGTTTTCGAATAATTTAAAACTTAGACCATTTATATACTCAAAGAACTTGCCAAATGGTGAATCACTAGTGATGGTCATGTTGACCAATCACAAACGTCCACTTTAGTACCACTAAGGCGGATTTCTAGACAACAGAAACGACCATCTTATTTGCAAAATTTTCATTGCAATACTTGTGTTTCAAGTTCTACTCAACACCCAAATACCCGTTGGCAGATTTCTTATCATACGATCATTTATCTCATTTTTAAGGCCTTCTTTGTGGGTATTTCATCCCATTTTGAACCCAAATCGTATGTAGAGGCTATACAACATAAAGAGTAGGTTCATGCAGTGGAACAAGAACTAGAAGCTATGAAAGTTAACAATATATGGACTGTGGTACATGTTCCAACATGCAAAAACATAGTGGGATATCGTTGGATGTACAAGTTAAAGTATAATGCAGACGACACCATTAAAATGCACAACACCAGGCTTGTAGCCAACGGTTTCACAACAAGAAGGAGTTGATTATTTGGATACCTTTTCACTTGTGGCTAATTTTGTGTCTATCAAGACCATGTTTGCCTTAGCAGCCATTAAGAAGTGGCAATTACGACAATTGGATGTTTTATAATGGTTTTTTGCATGGGGACTTTGAAGAGGATGTATATATGCAAATACACTAAGGGGGCGTTTGGTTCGTAGAATGGAATTCAATGGAATTGAAATTCATCAAATGAATTTGACTTTGAGGGAATGAAATTGAATCTGATGGAATTTGACAATGGCTTGTGATTGCGTTTGGTTGCATGGAATTGGAATGAAATTCTTAACGGAATTGGAATTTTTTTTTGTTTGGTTCACGAAATTCAACTTTGGAATCGGAAATTAAATATTAACAGATGACCTTTTATGATTTTTTTGTCATTTTTTTTAAATTAAAATTACCATTAAACCAAATTACATTATTAATATCAAATAAAATTTGAAATTGTTCACTTAGGAAATTAAATATTAACAAATGACCTAAGGAATTCGTAGGAAAGGAATTTGAAATCCTTGGTACATCAAGTGGAATTGTGAAATCGGTGACCGAATGAATTTGTAGGAATTGAAAGGATTCCTTCGCTTATAATATGTGAACCAAACATCATATTTGGAATTTGGTCAAATGATTGGCCATTTCAACTCCTTTCAATTCCACCAAATTCCCATGATTCAAACAGCCCCTAAGGGTTATTAATCAAGGGGGCCTCCAATATATTTGGTAAATTAGCTTGTAAGTTCCACAAGTCAATTTATGGTTTGAAGCAATCATCGAGACAATGGTATGCAAAGTTCTCGACATTTTTACATGGTATTGGTTTTGTACAATCCAAAGTGATTACTCTCTTTTCTATAAGGAAAATGGGATTGGTTACGTGGCTCTTCTTGCATATATCGACAACATAATTGTTGTTGGTCCATCTGCCACAACAATTGAATTGGTTAAATCCCAACTTCGTAACCGTTTCAAACTCAAGAACCTTGGGGAGTTAAAATGATTTTTGTTCTCAATATGGAATTTTTGTGTCTCAAAGGCATTATGCGTACAGTTGCTTGAGGATACTGGCTTGCTTGCAGCCAAACCATCTATCACCCTTATGAATCCTTGTTTTCATTTTGTTGCTGATACTAATGATCCACTTGATGATCCTACTCGATATCGCAGGCTAGTTGAGTGGATTCTTTATCTAACATTTACTCAACCTGATATTTCCTTCATTGTGCAAAAGTTGGCTCAATATATGTCATCTCCAACTAGTGCTCATTGGAATGTTGCGTTCATCTTTTGAAGTACATCAAACAACAGCCTGGACATGGAGTTTTGTGTTTGCACAATCATCCACTGAACTTCGAGCCTTTTGTGATTTAGATTGGGACATGTGTGTTGATACTCGGAGATCAACCATCGGATTTTGTGTGTTTGTGATATGGTTTCTTGGAAGTCAAAACGACAATATACTATTTAACGTTAATCACCAAAGGCAGAATATAGGGCTATGACAACTGCCACTTGTGAATTGGTGTGGACGTATGATTATAACAATTATCATCTGACTTTAGCATCATGTCACAGCTCCTACATTACTATTTGACGACACCAAGACTTCTCATCAAATTGCTTCTAACCCAACTTTTCATGAGCGTACCAAACATATAGAAATAGACTGCCATTTTGTTCATGAAAAGGTTCAAGACAAGACCATTAAACGGATGCCAATCCACAACAATCTTCAACTCGGGACCTGTTCACTAAGGCATTGTCGTCAAACCAAGATGCGTTCTTTAACGTCCAAGCTGGCATTAAACAATCTTTATTATGCACGTCCATCTTGGGGGTGTATTAGCATACAAAGGGTTTAAAACTAAACAGTCACGTGTCTATTGAGATGAAAAGGGTTATGTTATGAGCTTGTTGATATGAACCAATACACATCTACAAATAAGGGTTGTACATATATGTTTTAAAATAAAGAAATCCAACTTTCTTCTCCTATCAATTTAGCTTTTTCTTTCTGTTTTTGCTACTGTAAAATATATAATCTGGGTAATTAAAAATTACTTTATCCGTCCCAAAATAAATGTACACCATTTTAAGAATGTGTAATTATTATACTTATCAGTTAACAAAAAGACCATTTTACCCTTAATTATAGAGAGAGAAACTTTCTTCACACATAATTTGAGGGTAGAATGGGAAAAGTAGACATTTACGTTTGAAATGGACACTTGTTTTGATACAAACGAAAATAGTAATGCATACATTTATTTTGGGACGGAGAGAGTAATTATATTTAAGATGGTTTTCTAAAAATTGAGATAAATCTATGGGTTTCAAAACTTGATCCGTTCATATGAAAAAAAGGTAATCTAAGTTTTCAAAAACATTTCAAGATTCCATTCTTACTGATTACATAAAATGAGTAAAATAGGAATATTATAACAACTAAAAGATTTTGTATGCTTTATTGACTTGTACATAATGCTTGATAATGTAGTATAGACAATCAACAATTGTATCAGTACAACAGTAACATTAATAATTAAACAGAATATACTAGATTAATGATATCATACGTTTGTCTAATGTATACAAAAGTTATACTATGTATATCTAACACGAGTCATTATGTTTCTTCTTAAGCGTATGCTTAATCCATACTTTGGTCATTAATAGCGCATTCGTTAGAAAACGTCTAATTCAGTCAAACATTTTACATGAAATCTATTTGTTTTTGTTACTACAACAGTTAAATTTGAAACCCAAAAAACGTTTGATTGATTAACATAGAAAAAGAGTTCGAAGATGTATCAATTTTTAAGAACACCTTTCAAATAAGACCAAACCTGAGAGGCAGTTTCACATTGACAAAACAAATGAAGTAAAGAATCTTGTTGACTTCTAATGCAGAAATTCATTTTATAAGGCATTTGAAAGCCCATATATCTGAGCCTGTCATCCATAGGAAGAGCATTCCCGAGAAATCTCCAGAAGAAGAGAATAAACCCATCTTACGCCACGCGTTCAATAAAAAATCTGAAAAGGAAAACAGTATGGATGGCCCAAAGAGAGCAGAAGAGAAAGTTAACTAGCTATCTCCCTACAGAAAGTCATACTAACTAGCAAGCTGTCGAATGTCAAATCATCGGTTTCAAAAGGGCATTTTTAATTTGGTTTTAGGTTTCCCAATTCGATTTTTTTAGCAAGAGATTTAACCGGCAGGGTAAGATCGAGTAAATAGTAAAGTATAGGGTCATATTTACCATTTAATAAATCTAAGAGGACCTAACATGTAACATTATGAAATACTTCCAAATCCCAACCAAACTCCTCTTTTTATAAACCCAAAACCAGTGTTCTGCCGCCGTCAAGAGCAAAACCCTCAATCCTTCGCAATGTCGCAGTCATTGGAGCTGTTGCTTATTCAATTCTTGATGCCCGACAATGATGCACGGCGGCAAGCGGAGGACCAAATTAAGCGGTTGGCAAAGGATCCACAGGTGGTTCCGGCACTCGTTCACCACCTACGAACTGCGAAGACGCCTAATGTGCGGCAGCTCTCTGCAGTGCTCCTCCGCAAGAAGATCACTGGCCATTGGGCAAAACTATCGCCTCAGCTTCGTCAGCTTGTCAAACAATCTCTTATTGAAAGCATCACTATGGAGCACAGGTTGGGAATTTCCATTGTTAATTGATGTTTGTTTTATGTTGAGCTATTTCAATTTATAGAATTTATTGTAAATATTTGTGTGACGGCCATTTGTAGTCTAAAATGCAATTTTATTACTCCCTAGGTCCCAAATAAATGAGTTTTTTCGTGAAATTGAGTAAATTTTCTATCGTTTTGAGATGAAACTCACCACAGCTCACTATAGATGTATTATTCAACTAGGATAAACGTTAATATATGACCAAACGTCTCAAACGATTACGTTTGAGTAGTTTTATAGAGAATGAAACGTTTTTGTATAAAGAAAAATTGACACACTTTTGATCAGCTAAAACTTGTCCCTCTGTTTGGCGCGACAATAGACCTGGAGCATTGGAGTTTTTGTGCCACCAAAAAAGTGAGGGAGATGGGACAAATTAGTAAATTACTAAATAAAGCATGTCACTACCTTACTCTTGTCTGTCCAGTCCGTCCACCTGCCAAACGCACCCTGAAGGATGAGTTTTCAGTAAAAATTGTGAAGTTTTGATCGAACAAATGAAGAACTACAAGAATAGCAAGATAATCTTGTCTGAAACTTATAAAAATGAATAAACTACAGGTGGGATCAGTGGTTTTGATATATAACAAAATATAAAAAGACCCATTTGATTCTGCTACTTTTTTCTCAGCGACAATGCTCAAACTATCGCCTCAATAGTTTAATTTTTAGCATCAGAATCAACTTTGTTGTTGTTGGAATTGTAATTGAATTGAGACAATAGTGATGCGACAAGAATAACATTGATTGAGAGGGATAAAATTAGGTTGCCAAAGATTTTTGAAGCTGGGTAAAGGACATCTTAAATCGAGTAAAGTCATTAATGGAGCGAGCCGTTGCAAATTGAAAGTTTTCTTGCCATGTCTCTAGCGTGGGCGAAGTGAACTACCATACAGTTGGAAACAGAGTAGCTAGAAAAGACAGATATGGAAGGGAGATAGGGGTGAGATGGGAGAGAAATTAATGGTGGAATTGGGAGTGGGAGATATGGTGCAGGAGGGAGGATAGATAGAGTGATTTTGAATGGTTTTATTCATTTTCCAATTTTTTCTTCAAAGTAAGGCGTGATAGACACAAATTTAGCTCTCGTCACCCAAATATGCCCAGTTAAATTGCTTACTTATCCACCAAAAAGTGATGTAGAAGCTTGTGGTTTCATAGTTAGGAGAACTGTAGTGAAAAAGTTTTGCTCAAAGACACAGATTCATTTAGATTATTAGAAGTCTAGTTCAAGTTATAGTGCTGTAGCTAAGCTGAGATTAATACACACATATGAATCTTCAAAATAGATTATAGTATGGTATCTCTTTACCTAAAAAAGCTTAATCCATGGTTGTAACTTGTGAGCAACTTGTAGTTTTTTTGGGTGCACGTGCACCAATTATGCTTCAAAGGTAATGCAATGATCTCATTTTGACTTTAAAGATACCATGAAGAGACATAACCAAACATTTTGGCCATTTTTAAGTGCTAAGCATTAATCTTATTCCTTATCTGCTTTATGCAGTAAATGTGTTTGGTTAAGTTGTATTTTATGTCTTTTCGTCATCTTGTGGTTTTTTGTGCATGTGCGATTTATATTATCTACAAAGTAAGACTAACTGTGCCTGATGGATATCTTGTATTGTCAGTCCACCCGTGAGGCGTGCTAGTGCTAATGTGGTGAGTATCATTGCAAAGTATGCCGTTCCTGGTGGAGAATGGCCAGATTTGCTGCCATTTTTGTTCCAGTGCAGTCAGAGTGCACAAGAAGATCATAGAGAGGTGCTTTGTCTTTGTCGATTTACAATCTTAATTTTATTTTAGGAATTTCAATATGTTAATATTTGTTGCGAATACCCTCATGCACCACTCTCTCTTACTCTTGCTAATACACACAGACATGTACTATAATCATCATATAGACATGTGCATGTGTTGGAGATGTATGTTGCACAAGTATACCATGAATTTACTACTGATTTCATTAATATTTGGCTAATATTTCTGTTCCTGTTGTGCCCTGTTGCTCCTCACCCCTACTCTTCATACTCTTCAGCCCTACTCCTCACAAGACATAATTTTATACTGAATAAACAATTTTTTTTATAATAAATAAATTATTTCCAGATATTGTAGAAAGTAACTAAATATATACTTTTAGTAAAATTAAATAATTAAATAATGAAAATTGATGAAAAAAATACGATAATATATTATGCCTCTTTTTAAAGAAATATATTATATAAAACATTTGCTAAATAATAATAGACAGGGGTATAATTGTCAGGTTTACTCGGTAAGCATTTAATACAAATCATTAGATAAACAACAATTTACATTCAGCACTTACCCCTCTTACGTCACTTACCTGAGTTAGGCCTCTTACCCCCCATTGGACCTCTTATCTCAGTCATGACTTGCCCAATTTTTTTTTGGTAAATAGCCCCTTAGTCAATGAATAATGATCTATAGCCAAGTCTAGTATTCCTTCTCTCCAAAGTGTAACTTTTGATTGGACAAAATATCAGGTGCTTTCCCATGAATGTGAATTGTAAATAGTTTGTAGCCGAGCTTACAAGTTTCTCGATCCTCCATCCCCCTCACCTCGAGCGTTCCAAGAACATTTTTTATTTTCAGGAAGTACCTAAAGATGGGATGTTTAGCAACATGTGGTTCTTGCTATGCTATTGGCCTGTTATGCTTGATGTTTTCAAGCATCTTTTGCTTCAATTACGTTTACACTTTTCAGTGGTACATATTTTAGCTCCTAAAAGTAATAATAATTGTATCTTCTTCCATGACACCAGGTGGCGTTGATTTTGTTCAGCTCCTTAACCGAAACAATTGGGGATTCATTTCGACCATATTTTGCTGATTTACAAGCACTTCTACTCAAGTGCCTACAAGATGAGACTAGCAATGGTGTTAGAGTGGCTGCCCTCAAGTAATATTTTATGTCAAAACTTGTGATGAGGATATATATGTGTGTGTGTGTTAGATTTGAGTTTCATCGAACAAGTGGTACTGCTAACATAATCTCATATTTCACTTTGGAACTTTATTCATTGAACAGGGCAGTTGGCTCTTTTATCGAGTTCACTTATGATGCCTCTGAAGTGGTAAGTCTGGTTGTTCCCTCCAATGGATCTTGCAGTTGCTTTATTTGAATAGCTCACTTAGTTACAGAAAATGTAATATTTATGCCTAAGTAGCTAAATTGATTGAATCCAAAACACGTAGTAGGTTCTTGAACGAGTGAACTGGCATGTCCAGGAAATCATTGGTTCAACTGTTTTAGGCACATGTTGGAGCCTGATCAATCTGATTACTTGGACATATGAAAGCTAATAATTGAAATGATGCCGCGTGATTTGATATTGCCATGTATTTTGATAATAGTCTGTTGACTGTTTTGTAAAGCATTCTTTTGTTTTTTCTCTTTACCATCTAAATTTTACCCCAGGACTAGTTAATCTTGTTGTTATTGGGATTAACAGTTTAGATGGAAATTGGTTGGACCTGTTTGTTAACTTTATTACGGAAAAGTGGGAAAGCGTACTGATGGTTATTATCAACCAAGTAAATACGTGGCAACCACCAAACTCACCTGTTTTTCCTTTGTCAAATATCAATAAACACGGTGTAATTATGTAGAGAGAGAATGTGTATCTACACTCTTTTTTTTGTTCACATAAGGGCATTTTGGTGCCTTTGGTGGTACATCTTTCCTTTTTCTTTTTGATAACTGTGGTATCTGACCTTTGATGGTAATACTTAATGGTTGGTGTGGACTTCCCTTTTGATTAAACAACATTCTCTATAGATATCAAACCAAAACTGAAACACAAAAGATCAGAGAACTCTACTCATGTTGTAATCTAATTTAAGAAAAATAGATTTGGTTTCTCTTTCAACCTATCAAGATACATTCATGATGATGGACCATAAGTATCTCTTACTTATGTTCTTATAGGATGAGCCAATGAGGAACCTTTTATCATAGTTGTATCTATTTAATCTCCTTCCAATCAACTGAATACATAATCTGTTATTGGTAGTTATGATTGGATGCAACAGGGTTCTGGGAAACTTTGTAGGTAACTTGCTTTCTTTATGTCTTGCGGGGCAACTTCAGTCTTACAAACATGAGTTGCACTGTTGACTCTTAATGCCACAGTGCTCCAATTTCATGTTCAGACATAGTTTTGTATATTTTTTCTTGTGCTTTTAGTTCCAAATTGCAAAAGTTTTCCTGTTATTTTCTTAATATACATCACTATCATATACATGCAGATTAAATTTCGGGAATTTATTCCCAGCATCTTAAATGTTTCAAGACAATGCCTTGCATCTGGCGAGGAAGATGTTGCAATAATTGCTTTTGAGATATTTGATGAGCTGATTGAATCTCCAGCACCTCTTCTTGGAGAATCAGTCAGAGCCATAGTGCAGTTCTCTCTTGAGGTTTGCTCAAGTCCAAATTTGGAATCAAGTACACGTCATCAGGTTCGCAGTGCTCTTAAGTTCTTATGAGGTTCATATCTGTTCAAGTAGCAAGAGAAATCCATCTCTCTTTCCTTTTTTGCCCCATGTCTCCTGCTTTGCTGTTAATTATTTTCATATTATAGGCTATTCAAATCATTTCATGGCTTGCAAAGTACAAATCTAATTCCCTTAAGAAGCATAAGTTGATCATTCCGATCCTTCAAATTATGTGCCCACTGCTTACGGAGGCAACCAATAGGGATGAAGATGACGATGATCTTGCACCAGATCGCGCCGCTGCAGAAGTTCTTGATACCATGTCTTTAAAGTTGCCAAAACATGTGTTCCCACCTGTTTTTGAATTTGCTTCTTTGAGCAGTCAGAGTGTTGATCCAAAGTTCCGAGAGGCTTCAGTCACAGTTTTGGGCGTCATTTCGGAGGGTTGTGTAGAGTTGTTGAAAGAGAAACTTGGACCTGTCCTTCATATTGTGTTAGGGGCTTTAAGGGATCCTGAACAGGTCGTAAGAGGAGCTTCCGCGTTTGCATTAGGTCAATTTGCTGAGTATTTGCAGCCTGAGATTATATCCCATTATGAAAGTGTTCTTCCTTGTATATTAACTGCCATAGAGGATTCATCTGATGAAGTCAAGGTAAACACTGATTACAAAGTTTCTGTCTTAAGATGAATGTTATCTTTCATATGTTCTAGGGAAGCAACTCAATTTTCTTTGCAGGAGAAGTCATACTATGCGTTGGCAGCATATTGCGAGTGCATGGGTGAAGAAATCCTCCCTTTTCTTGATTCTATGATGGGAAAACTATTTGCTGCTGTGCAAACTAGCCAGCGTATGTTACGAGAAACATGCATGGTAATGATGCAATCTCCATGCTATAATTGATTTGATGCATCAGCGAGCTTCTCAAAACATTATTTGCTTTGTGCAGTCTGCAATTGGTTCAGTTGCATCTGCTGCAGAGCAAGCATTTCTCCCATATGCTGAACGGGTTTTGGAATTGATGAAAACTTTCATGGTGCTTACAAATGATGAGGACCTTTGTTCACGAGCAAGGGCTACGGAACTGGTGGGAATAGTTGCCATGGTTGTTGGAAGGGCTAGAATGGAACCAATTTTACCACCTTTTATTGAAGCTGCAATTTCTGTAATAATCCTGTCATTATCTCTATCTGAAAGTTATGGCTGTTGTTCCAGCGTTTTTTGACAAGTAAATATACAACATAGGGATATGGGCTGGAGTACAGTGAACTCCGTGAGTATACTCATGGATTCTTCAGCAACGTAGCAGAACTGTTGGAAGATGGAATGGTTCAGGTATATATATGTGTTACTTTGGGTTATGTCTTAGCAAGGTCGAAGTTTGATTTGATGTGTGGTGTAACATTATTGTAAACAGTATCTTCCACATGTTGTGCCTCTGGCGTTTTCTTCCTGCAATCTTGATGATGGATCTGCTGTTGATATTGATGATTCTGATGATGATGAGAATGTAAATGGATTTGGTGGAGTATCATCTGATGATGAAGCCCAGGATGAACCAAGAGTGCGAAATATCAGTATAAGAACTGGGGTTTTAGATGAGAAGGCTGCAGCAACTCAAGCCCTTGGTCAATTTGCTCTACATACAAAGAGTGCTTATGCCCCGTATCCTTTGTTGTCAAATATGTTTCAATTTGCATCTTCAAAATAAACCATCACCCATAGCTGTATTCTTTAATAACCTCTAAGATATTTGGAAGAGTCTTTGAAGATTTTGGTGAAGCATTCCAGCTATTTTCATGAAGATGTTCGACTTCAGGCCATTACTGGCTTAAAACGTAAGTAACAATCAGTTTGTGTTTATAATGGCTTGTGTTTAGTTCTCTAATCTTCAAATTTGACGTATATGCTCATGATATATCCATGCAAGTAAGAAGCATTAGTTGCTTGTTCACCTATGCTTCTTTCCCTGCTATAACATTGACAATCTCATACAGAGGTACATACATTACACACATACCCATATAAAATAAAAAATGCTATATGTAGAAAGTTCCCATCACCATTTTGAGAAAGGGAAGAATGTGTGTACGGATACAAATTATTTGGCATGCAAGCAAGCTTTTTATGGGTCCCCAACTTTGGTGCATTGGCCTCTTGAGTTAGTGGGTGATTCAGTATCATATCAGGTATGTAGTCTCAGTAATGATATATACTATCTTCCCCTCTGGCTGCCCCTTACCCCATCTAACGATATATGCTTCTACTGGCTGGTGACCTAACACATGCCACTCCAAGTTGCATCTAAGAAATGCTGGAATTTTTTTAGTTATCTGCACCGTTCATTTTAGCTCTAACATTCAGTTGGTTTTGGATGGCAGATATTTTGACAGCTGCTCATGCAGTCTTCCAAGGTCATAGCGTAAGTTTTCTCTTGTCCATTTTTGTTTTTAGAAATGATTGCAGTTATTTTTGCTATTTTGTTTTGTACACATAAGAGCAATCTATTTTGTTTGTGTAAGGGACTTTACATCATAGAGAAGTTTAATGTCTGGATTCCTTGTTTCGTCTACTCAATGATCTTAGATAGTGGGATGAGACAGTTACTGACATTAAATATTCCTTCTCCCTCTTTCCCACATACAAACTAATCTTATCTATTTTCTTGCCTTGTTTTGCAGGACGGAGCATCCAAGGCAAAAGAAATCCTTGGTGAGTAGATGACTTGATGACAAAAATTAAGCGCATCACCTTGTGGAATTGCTAGATGTTGATTCAGTTACTTAATTGTTTCACAATGTTCCAAAATTCAGATTCTGTGATGACCATTTACATCAAGACAATGAATGAAGATGATGACAAGGAAGTGGTTGCTCAAGCTTGCATGAGCGTAGCAGACATGATGAAAGATTTTGGATATGTGGCCGTCGAACCTTGTATGGACATTGTTTATTTTGTTTATAAGATATTCTAATGTGTTAAATAAAGTTTTTGGTATAAACTAACCTGTCAAATGTCCTCTTACTCATGTCTGTGGTTCTAAATTCAGATATGCCTCGGCTTGTGGAGTCGACTCTGGTCTTGCTTCGAGAGGAATCAGTCTGTCAACAAATAGAATCAGATAGTGATATTGATGATGATGATACTGGACATGATGAAGTGCTTATGGATGCTGTTTCAGACCTCCTTCCTGCATTTGCCAAAGCCATGGGCTCTCACTTTGCACCGATCTTTGCAACTCTATTTGATCCGTTAATGAAGTTTGCGGTTAGCTTACTCACGACTTTATGGTGTAAAAGTTTTTCATTCCTTCTGTATACTTTTTGTAACTCATGGTAAATGGTGGTCCTACAGAAAGCTTCACGCCCGCCACAAGATCGGACAATGGTAGTTGCATGCCTTGCTGAAGTTGCTCAGGATATGGGTCCTCCAATTGCCGTCTATGTCGATGTACTTTCTTGTGATTATACATACTTTTCACCTACATTCACTTTCTGCAAACCAGGGGTTTTCATGGAAACAGCCGCTCTACTCTTCGGGTAGGGGTCAGGTCTGCGTACATCCCCCTAAACCCCACCTGCAGGGGGACACATTGGGCTTGTTTTGTTTGGTTTTCACATACATGGCACTTCGAATTTATCAATTTTCATGTTTGGGATATTGCATCATATTTCAGGGAGTGATGCCCTTGGTACTTAAAGAATTGGCTTCATCCTCAGCAACTAATAGGAGGAATGCTGCATTCTGTGTTGGAGAGTTATGCAAAAATGGTGGCGTCTCCAGTCTCAAGTATTCTTCTACTTTCATATACTTGGGTTTTCACCTTTTGATTCGTTTCTCTGATGTTAGATTTTTGTGTTCTCTCTTTTCTGCAGCAACCCCTTTTCCTGTTAGTGTGTTAGTTGAACATTGATTTTGACATGATGAGTTGTTTTCCATTTATCAATCAGATATTTTGGTGATGCTTTACGTGGCCTTTATCCGTTGTTTGGAGAATCCGAACCAGATGATGCAGTAAGGGACAATGCTGCTGGTGCAGTTGCAAGGATGATTATGGCACACCAGGAATCCGTCCCATTAAACCAGGTTCGTATTCTTTTATTGTAGGTTAGCAGCCTTGGTGCTTTGAAAAGGTATTCTAAATATCTATATATATTTATATCCAGGTCCTCCCTGTTTTCGTCAAGGTTCTTCCGTTGAAAGAAGATCATGAGGAATCCATGCCTGTTTATAGCTGCATTTGCAGCCTTGTTCTATCATCTAATCCACAGGTACTCATTTAGGACTTATTGACCTTCTCTTCAAAGGCAGTGCTCTAAGAAAACCTTAAACGTCATTTGAGGGGAAATTTGGTCATTTTAACATTTTTGTCATGTCTTGTCCAACTTATCAAACGTTATACAGACTTGTCCAGTCATGTCTTCGTCGTATTAAGCACCAAACAGACAGATGGTCCAGTCCAGTCTAGTCTCGTCTTTGTTTCAAACACACCCTTAGGGTGGTCTGCTTGATTGGCTGCCTGGCTCACCCCTTCAATTGGCAACTGATAGCTAAACCAAGTGTTTTGAAAAGCTAAGCAGGGATCAACCCTTTTTTTTCTCAACCGGGTGGTAATGTTTTCAGTCATTTCAGAGTAATGAAAATCCTTTATAAAAATTATTGGATCAAAATTAGATAATATCAGAAACTCAGATTTTCAGTTGTTTGCACATTCTAAATTTTTGTTTATTAAAAGGGACTGATTTTCAGACCGATCGGGCATCCACTTTAGTCCCTGGTCAGGCAATTAAGTGTTAGAAGGTCACTTGACTACATATATGTCTTGATGCTTTTTAGAGCACAGCTTAAAGGAGCTCAGATGTCAGTCATATTACAAGATTCTATCTGATTTCTGAATCGTATTGTAAACAGATCGTTCCTCTGGTTCCGGATTTGGTTAACGTTTTTGCACAAGTAGCCTTATCGCCAATTGAAACACCGGAAGTGAAAGTGCAAATTGGAAGGGCTTTCGCTCACCTTTTATCGCTATACGGCCAACAGATGCAGCCCCTCTTGGGTAATCTCTCACCTACACATGCTAATGCTTTGGCTGCTATTGCGCCAAAGAGTTGACAAAAATCAAACACAAGAAGGTGTGCGAATGCCATCTAAAGATGATCCTTTCCCCTAATGGGAATCATTTGGAGTATATTTTCTTAAAGTTTTCAGCTTCCCAGAAACTCATTTTTCAGTCAGGTACGTTACTTGTAAATTACTTTCTCAATATGTATTTAAAACATGCATAAAGGAGCCAAGCATCAAGCCTCAACTCGTTTAAACCGATGCTTTTCTTTTTGAACTTAAGGTTCCATTCGCTTACCAACTTCTCATATTTACACAGTTGACCTCAGATAGTCAGATAGGAGTTCTTGGAAATGGCCGATTAGGATAGTTGATTGCTTGTAGGACTGCAGTTTGGGGGACGGTTTAGATAAGGTTGCGGTATCTTATGGTAGGAATTTTGAGTTTCTTTGGTACTTTCCATGTGCTTTTAAGTTAGGTAGACCTCTTGCATCCTTTTATATTTGTCTTATGAAAAAATACATTTTTTTAAAATTTGTGGCTTATAGTTATGCTCTCGATTTCTTTTACTTAAATCTTTTTCGCAAGTCGATGGTCTTCTGGTAAAGGCCATGTTTGGCCACCTATAAACTAGCATATTTTTTGATTAAATTGAAAAAAAAAAACCCTGTTTGGTCGACCATAAGCTAGCTTTTAAAGTCACTTCGAGTAGTTCTCAAGTTTTTCTACTTTCCAATTAATTTTTTCAAACATGTTTTAGGTCCTTTTGTTTTTATGTTGTCATCTAACATATCAACTAGTTTCTACCAATCATAAGCTGTTTATCAGCTAACAACTAGTTTGCCAAACATAGTCGGTCGTCTACATCTTGTCGGTGTTCGGTTTTCTTCGCGTATTAAATAGAAGTGAAAGTTACATTTATATAATTAATGAGTATAGGATATGATGGATGCAGGTTTTTGTTTGGCTTCAGTTTTCCCCAATGGAGCTAGGTAGCTGTTACACATGGGTTTTTTTTTGTTTTACAATTTTGATGTGTGGTATTATTCATTTGTCTCAATATGTTTGTTTTGGTTCATTTATTTATAAGCCTACATTACATAAGGTTGTGTGTGTATGGTAAGTAAAGGGTTTTAGGGTTGGTGATGTCACTCTGTTTGGTATTTTATTATGAGTCATTGTTTGTTGGGTTGGTTGTTGGTAATGAATTGAGGTTTTAGCTTGTGAATAGCATTCACACTTGTTTTGTTGAATGGTAATATGTTGGTATTTGATTTTTAAGCATTCTTGTTCAACTGTGTGCTAGGTAGGGTGTAAACAAAATGAGACAGAGTTGAGTGGTAGGTTATTCGAGCTTGGCTCGAAAAAGTTAATACAAAGCTCGAGTTTGACTTGAGCTCGAATAACTTTTTTAAAGTAGGATTCAAGCTTGAGCTCGATGCCCTGTTTATGGGGTCAAACTTGCAATTGATTAACTTGTTTATTGGTTCAAGCTCGAGCTTGATTGTTGGGATCTTGGGTGGAAACAGGTGAGATTTTAGTAGGTAAATTGACGATATATTTTTATGAGCAAATTATGATTTTCGTCCTTGTTTTTTTTAATAATTTTGATTTTTGTCCATGTTGTTTAGAATAAGGAGTGTTCATAGGTTGAGTTGATTGGGTTAAAGACATTTTAACAATCTAATCCAACGTTTGGAGTTTGAAAATCTCAACCCAAACAAAAGTGCAACCCAACCCGAACCGTACGATTTGGTCGGGTTAATAATTTGGTACATCAAAATATTCTTGTTACCTTGAATATGTTGTTTTTTTACTCATGGTTTATTTTTCATCATCAATCTTTTGGTATAGCTTATTCATACTTACAAATATGTGATGATGTAATTGTGTAATGTACATATTAATAAAGGCTTAACAATCATATTAAATCGAAAAAATAAAAGGGTATAGGGTTTATTGGGTTGGGTTCAAGTGACCGTAAATCAATTCCAACCCAATACCTATGGTTTGAAAATTTTATAACCCGATTAGACATTAGGTCGGTCTGGTTTCTGAGTACCCCTAGTTTAGAATATGAGATTTTCGTTTCAATGATTTGCAATTTATTGCTATTTTTGTCTATGGGTTAATTCCTATCTTAAAGTATAAGGGACCAAAACAGTAAAAAAATGTGAATTATAGGAACCAAAACAACAGTAGTTTGTAATCATAAGGACAAAAATAGTAATGAATTACTAACTATATGGTTGAAAACCACAATTTTCAAACCATGGGGACGAAAATTGCAATTATTAGCAAATTAAGAAAAACATAATTTACTCTATTTTTTGTATGATTATAAATCTATGGACATGTTTGGCTCGAAAAAATGTGTGCTTGTAAGGCTTAACTTGAAAAAAATAATCAAGCTTTTGAATAAACTGAGTCGAACATAAGTGATATGAAGCTTGATTGATTAAGCTAAATGAGTTCTGTTTCGTGTTTGAAATTAACTCGAACTTAAGAAATTATTAAACTCCAGATCGAGTAGCTCATTAAGAGCTCAAACTGTTTGTACCCTAGTAAAAAAATTGGTTTTTGTTAAAAAAAAAAGTATACGAGTTCTTAATGCATATGTACAAGCATTTATAGTATACTTAAAAAAAATAACTGATGGCAGAGGAGATGACCCACAATTTCCTGAACACTATTTTCCTTTCCCTTGTTCACCTTCTTCAGCCAACTGTCCCCCTCATTTCTTTCTCTGATATCTTAAAATATTCATCGAACATGTAGAAGAAGTAGTTGTTGATAATTTACTGGACCGGTGGACCTTAATCACACTCTACACATAATCAAGTAACGTGATGCAAAAAAAGCGTCAGGGTTTTCCTTGGAGGGAAGGGGGTATTTGATCGGTTTATGGGTGGTGGTGTAAGAACGGAAGAGAGAAAGGGGTCTCTTTTTCTCAACGGGTAGGCCCTCTTGCTTGTGCCATCTCCGCACTTTTCTTCGGAAAAGAGGATAAAGCCTCTAGCAAACTCTTCTCTTTTATTTTCGGTAGAAAAATGGATCCACAAGCAAGGTAATCAATTTGGCCCCTTGAAAGGGAGTAGGGGTATAACTTTATATGGTATCAAATCTCTCTTCTTAAACCAAATATTCAAGGAGGAATAAAAATCCTTTGTGGTCATGAATATTCAAATGCGGTGACTCCAAGCTATCTGCAAAGCAGGTGGTCGTTCTGAGATTAGTCGGCTCGCATAATAGGTTGGATATCCAATTTAATAAAAAAAAATATTGTACTGATTATGATTGATAGGTAAAATCAACTATGAATACCAACCAATAAAGTTTGTATGTTAGCTTATTTGGTCATCAATAATTTTGTTGATACAAGTTGGTAATTGTGTAATACCAAGATCGCAAGCCTAATAATATCTGTTTTTGCTATTTTCCGTATCCAAAAAAAATTACTGAAAAGTTATCAAAATCCACCGATCGTGTTTTCTTACCGAAAAAAGAAACCAGATGAGCAACAAATAACAGATATCATCATTACTAATATAGAACAGATAAGGAATTGTACTAGCTTCCCAAAATAGAGAGAAACAATACTGCAACAACAAATGAATTCATAAATTTCATATATAGACTAAGGGGCCGTTTACTAAACGTTTATCCGGTAAGTGCTTACCAGACAATTTTCCTCACCGGATTAACATAGCAAGGGCCAATAATCTTACCTGGTAAGAACGATGATTATGATGGAGAGTCTTACCCGGTAAGTGAGAATGACGACTCTTGCCCGGATAAGCACTTACTGGGTAAATTGTTGCATAGGATACCGTTTTGATGTACTACAATCTTATCCGATAAAAATAAATTATAATGTTGATTCCTACTGGTAAGCACTTACCAAGTAAGCATTTGGGTAAACGGCCCCTAATATCATCTCATATCTAAGGCTTGTAAACTTGTCCATACCTAATTATAGAACTTTTTTAGATTTAATGACGAAAGCAAGGAGCCAAGACGACAAAGCTTGCAACCATATTGATGACGAACGTAGCTTAGGGCAATGATGATCAATGGCAAGTATTAAACGCTTACCATGCAATAAACAACAACAAACATACGAGCGTCAAGCAATGGTCTTTATATAGTGTTGTAACAACCTTAACATAAAACACGTAAATCTTAACCAGGTTAGCCTACCAAACACGCATCATCCAAAATTAGACCCGATTATGGGGCCGTTTACCGAACATTTATCTGGTAAGTGCTTATCGATAAAAATTAACACAATCATTTACTTACTGGGTAAGATTTTAGTCCATCAAAACGGCATCGTATGCAACAATTTACCCGGTAAGCACTTACCGAGGTAAGAGTCGTTGCCCTCACTTACCGGGTAGGACTTTTGGTCCTTGTCTTGCTCTTACCGGGTAAGATTCTTGGTCTTTACCATATTCATCCGATAATATAATGTGATTTGGTAAACGCTTACTCGGGTAAGCATTTGGTAAACAGCCCCTATCTTCGATACTCTTTAGCCAGACTACAATAGCATGAAAGAATAGGACAAAACATATATAAACGTACGAAAGTAGGGTTGACAGATAAAAAATTACGTAAAATTTCATATTTTAATTTAATAGAATTATTTAATAATTTATCAATTTTGTTTTGTATATGTAGGAGGTGTTTGAGATTGCTTTTTTGAAACAACTTATGCTATTTTATAGAAGTCATTTTCAGCTTATTATAAGTTAGAATGGTTTAAATTCTTCAAAAACTCCTTATTATCGGTTTGACACCGGTACAAACTATTTATCCAAACACTCAAAAATACTTGTTATCGATGCTACATCAAAATAAGTCAATAAATTATTTTTATATACAATCCCAAACACCCCAATGTTTAACATTTTTTATCCCATTCGATTCGTTGATTTTTGCGTATCAAACCCAAGAAAGACACTATCAATTCTTACCTCTAATTCTAAAGCAGGAAAATCAAGCAAAAAAGCCGAACGAAAAGAAAACAATGGTCGGATTATTATCCTCTGTTAGCCATGCCATTTTTACACCTACCACTTCCACGCTCCATCGCCGGAGCGTCAACCAAACGCGCTGTTGCCGTCTCCCATCATCATCCTTCCGGTTGTCGATGTTCAGCTCTCTTGGTTCACAGAGCAATGCGGTTTGTATCTTTAGCCGGAAGCCACTCTCATCAACCACCGACCGTGCACCCCTCGCCGCCATACCTTTCGACATCTATCCTCCTCCGATTGACCACGACCTTCATGTAAGCAGTTGCCATATGTGTGTAATTTGGACGTTTTAGATTTTTTTGACAGTTACTATGCCGTGTTGAAGTGTTTGTTTAACAGCCGATTGATGATATCTGAAATTTTAATTTTGGTCTTATTAGGTGTTAATTGTAGTAATACTCGGCAATTTTATGTTTTTAGTTTATATTATTGAATTGGCTTGACTAGTGAATGACTTCTTTTCCTCAATTTTGCTTCTTCAAGTGCTGAGGTGATTTCATAGAAGTTGTCCCACTTCATACTCGTAAAGGCGATTTCATTGATTGTAGGGGATATGAAATCATTGAGAAAATGACTTGTTAATTGTTATTATCCATATGAACCGTGTTCTTGGGATCTTCTATTACAAGATTGGGTTACCATCGCTGTTAGTTTCTTAGATTTGCATAAGTTCCATATCCTCTCAATGTTTCACTCACAAACTTCCTAGCCAAAGGCTTAGTTGAGGATCAACCATATTCACTTCTGATTTAATATAAGTGATTGATATAACACCATCTTTAAGCAACTGCTTAGATGTATTATGCCTTTGTACAAAAATGCCTTTTCTTACCATAGGAAGACCTATTCTTTGTTCTTTATCCAAAAAAGGGCCTATTCTTTGCAATGGTAATGCTGCTTGGCAATCCCAATGCATTGACACACCGGGTATTGGTTTAATACCCAACACAAAAACTTGCTAAAAGATTTTTCAACCACCCATCTTCATTGCTGGTCAACCCTGTATGTAGAAATAATAGCTGAACCCATGGTGGGCTTAGTTATAAACTTTTATTTGGCTTATTTCCAAGATGTAACACCCTCACCATGGGTGAACATATAACCACTAGTGGATTTTTATATCAGGTGAATCAAATATCAAGTTGACATCATTGTATCCTTCTAATACACAGGATTTGATATTTCATGGTACCTCAAAAAATACTTTAGTTCTATTGCAAGTCATTGGTGGGATTACGAGTATAGCTACTTAATCTACATGTAACATAAGCTATATCTGATCTATAACAATTCATTAAACGCATAAAACTCCCTATAATCTGTGCCTATTCATATTGTATAGCAGGGTCACCTCTATTTATCTTTATTCGAGTATTTGTGTCGTAAGGGCTTCTCATGTGTGCAACGTCAAACTACCCAAACCTTTTAAGCAGTTGTTATATGACAACATTATGCCATGATTGCCATATGTCTTATCCAAAATCAACGAGTTAATTATATTACCCTTCTTTGAAGCTGGTTAAAAACTCCAACCTAACCTATCATGGAAGTATGGAACAATCAGAGGAAGAAAATGAAGGAAGATAATGTATTTCTTGAACCTCTCTCTATTAGAGTCGTGACTTTTAAAATATATTTATAGGAAGAAACTAACTAACTACAGTCTACAACCACTTGTTCTAACTACTAACTAACTACTAATTAACTTCACTAACCATTTCTATTGGTAATGTACGTCGGTAAACTTAGTACCCATAAAACTCTTATATCCACAATACTTTGACTATCACCACTAATTCTAAGCATATTATCCACATATAACCAGATAAATATACACTCATTATACACAAGTTTTGTATGTACACATTTATCTATTTTTACACAGAATCCATCATTAATCAAAATTTTCATGTCATTGTTTAAGGGCTTGTTTTAAACCATATGTAGATTTAGGAAGCTTGTAATTTGTTTTCTTGACTAGGAATTATGTAACCTTCCAGTTGCCTCATATAAATTCCCTCTTTCAAATCCCCATTTAGAAAATGTATGCATCCATGTGATAAACAATACGTCCACTGTTGTAGCTAAGGCAGTTAGAACCCTAGTAGGGAAATCCTGACCACAAGAACAAAGCTATCAAAATAATGAAGATGCATGGTAATTTTTCTCAGTTTGTCCCTATATTTACATAAGAGATATAAGTTTCCCCTTTGTTCCACTCAAAAGGATGTTTTTTTTTCTAACTAAGGTCCAATAAGTTTTTGTTGTTCACCATTTTCATTTATGGTGTTAGAAGAAATGAAGATTTTATCATGGTCACTACTTGATAAGAATTGTGAGACCCACAAGATGGAAAACAAATGAAAAGGTGTCATTTCACAATGTGCCTCTGTTTTCAGGAAAGGGATAATAATAAATGTGTAGCTATGTTACGGATAAGATACTGTTGATCTTTAGAAGAAGTAAGATTGATACTGAAAATGACATTATAATGCATAATATCCATTCCTACTTGTTGGTTCACGCTGTTAATTGTGTGCAATTGTCATGTTATGCAAACTTTAAGCCCATATAAATTAATTTGCCCATCCTTGTAGGATGACATGGCTATTGCGGGGGTAAAGGTGTCAGAAGATTGGGTTATTGAAACATTCGATAATGATGAGGAGGCGCTAGATGTGGTTGACAATGGCACCGTGGTGGGTACTAAAAGGTGCTTTGTGCTTTTCATTGTTAATCTTTTTCCTGAATGTGCATCTGCACATGGTTGAAAACACTCAAGTAGCTCATGTTAATGGTTGCTGGGGGATGTGATATATATAACTTGACGCCAAGTGTTTTGGTACTTGTCATTCTTTTTATATGGTCAAAATCCATTTTAAAACCACAATGGTTAAGCATGGGGTTATTTAGGATAATAACCTTCTGACAATTTTTTAAAATGCATGGCCGTATGACAGATTGAAGAACGCTTTTATCTAACAGAAGAATGCCTCTTCCTAAGACAAGATGCCTCAAAATCTGTCAAAAGGTCATACATTGTAAAAATAACTGTCACAAGGTTGTTCTTCTAATTAACCTGTTGAGCATGGCTTGGTTTCTTAACTGGATTTCAGGAAAGATATGGGATTTGATCTGCTACTCTCTGCTGTTGCTTATATATTGATTAAAAAATGTAATGTATTTTGTTTCCTAATAATACATATCACTTGTTGGGTTTCTTATTTCAAAATTTCAAGTTCAACAAAAATTATAGGACATGTTGTATTGTACGATTATGAAAGCTCACATATTTCATATTGTGCAATACCATATCATGAGCTTTAAAATCACTCTTTAATTTCTACTCGAAATTCTCCATTTCTTGCTTGTTCCTTTTTTCTGAACTTTGAAGTGACTTTTACAAGTGTTTCATCAGACTACTGCTAATAGTTTAGGAGACTATCGTTTCTAATTACTGTCTTAAAGTAATATTACTTTTTTTCATTGCTGCAGGTTGTTGATCTTTCCCATTATGGCAGGCTAAGAGGTAAATATTCGGATTTCCATGTCTTTAAGTGAAGTATAATCTTGTCATCCTTTCTTGTTATAATCATAATTTTTCTATGGACCACATAATCCCATGGTGGCAAATGCTTATAAGATAGGTTTTGGAATATTAGTTGCAGAATATGATATTTTGCAGTCACATGCACACTCATTTCCTTTTGAGAGAAACACAATGGATCCAGATAAATCCAATGAAAGATGTAAGAGATGCTAAAAAGGAAAGAAGGAATCAGAGAACTTCATTCACAGGGTTTTTTGCTAAATGGTGCGTTTTTACTCTGTAACAGAATCCGAGATGGGAACTTCAAATGTTATCAGCATTTGTTCTTGTAGGAAATCAAACTTATCGGTTTCCTTCCTATAATCTGTGATATGATTATTAGGAATTATTCTCCTAATTTTCTCTGCAATATTATGCACATTCGTACCATAAATGGCTAGAATACTTTCTGTTTCCCTTAGGAGCTAATTATGGCATTGATTTCGAGTCCTTGTATATATATATATATATATAATTTTTCTGATTAATGAAAGAGAGAAAAACATTCCCAATTCTCATTGCTTCAGTACTGTACTAGATTCCAGTTTCGCTTCATGGGTGTGCTGTTTGTAGCATCATCTTAAGCCGTGTACGTACTTCTATAAATCATATACTTGACGCTTTAGTCAAGGAGGTTTCTGCTGAGCATAAGTCTACCTTAACTCCAGTTACATAGGATCTATTGTTCCACCTTATGACATTCAAGTTTAGCATTCCTTATTTGCATAATGAGGAAAGGAAACGAATCATGGTCAACGACAATGAGTGATTTATTAAAAATTATGGGGTAGAATCTAGTAGATATACACTGATAGATGGTGGCTCTTATTGTTGGTCTCTTTTTGTCATACTAATACAAGTATGTATTTGTATATGCAATCTTCCATCTCATATACTTTAACATGGGTGTAATTTGTGTTAATTTGGTAACATTTTCTTTCTATTTACTACTGATGTGAAGTCAGTGGAGAAGATCGTATCCAATTTCTTCACAACCAAAGCACTGCAAACTTTGAGGCACTCTCTGAAGGAGGGGTAAGTCTTTGGAGGTATTAATAGTTAATGGGTTTGTTATGGTGTCTTTTGTTGCTTTGTCTAATTTTGGTGTTGATTTTTATAGAAGACTATGTGATATCTTAGAACTGAATCTTGTAGGGGTGTGACACTGTCTTTGTAACTCCAACTGCTCGAACAATTGATATTGCCCAGGCATGGATCATGGTAATCTTATACCCAAGTATGTTGTATGCATCACTTCAAAATAGAGATGGTCAAGGACCGGTCCGGGACCGGTCCTAAAAAAATTGATCTGGTTTAAGTAGTCCATAATAAAGCCTGGACCTGTCCAGACTGGCCTTGACTGATTGGATTGGTTCTTTTTGGCCCATCTCTACTTCAAAAGATCTTACATTAAGTCTTACAAGTGTTTCTGGTTTGCAGAAAACCGCGGTTACACTTGTTGTATCACCATTGACAAGTGGAAGTATCAGTGAAATGCTCAAGAAGTATGTTTCTACGCTTTTGAATTTTTTTGTTCAGATTTTCTTTCAGATTTTAGCATGTAGATTACAAAATTTGTTCCTGGGGATGACCTACGGTTTATGGGTATGTTTGTTGATAAAATAATTACAAGTTATGGCATGAACTTTGCATTTTCACTATTGAATTCGTCCTGATGCTAACATCATTAATGTGCCTCGGAGTGAAAGACAAAAACCATGTTAGATACATTCAAATAAATCTAAAAGGCTTCCTGGTGTTGTGTGCACGCTAGAGCTGCTCATACATCCCCCTTTTAAGGGGCTGTTTACCTAAATGCTTACCCGGTAAGCGCTTACCGGGTAAGCGCTTACCGTTAGGAGTCAACACTATAATTTATTTTCTAGGTAAGATTGTAGTATATCAAAAAGGTATCGTGTGCAATAATATATATGGTAAGCTCTTACCCGGGTAAGAGTCGTCACCCTCACTTACCGGGTAAGACTCTCTATCCTTATCTTCACTCTTACCAGGTAAGATTCTTGGGTCTTGCCATGCTTGTCCGGTGAGGAAAATTGCCCGATAAGCACCTACCGGGTAAGCGTTTAGTAAACGGCCCCTGATGTCTCTCATCCCATCGTTTCGTAGATGTGGGAAGCATTAGTATTTGTGCATCTCATTTACTCTTTCTTCCAATTGATTTTTGGCACAAGAGCATGGAGCAACCTGAACTGCACCCCCTCTGATTAGTTTGATCAAACAAATTCAGATCTACAAATTTTCCTTAGGAGTGTTTCTATCAAAATTAGAAGCGATCTCTTCCATGTTGGATCTTGTTTTCTTCTTCATCTGTAGGTTTAGATCTAGAAAATTTAGGGTAAATGTTTTTCAGCAATTTTGGTTTGGGTTTTAATTAAAGTTTTGATTTAGGTTCCCTTATTTGTGGGGTTTCTGTTTTGATTTTGGCATCAGGGAGGACAAAGATAAGAGTTTTGGTTTTTTGGTTATGGCTTTTGTTGGCTTTCGTCTCAGTAATTACTTCTCTTAATCTTTCATGTTTGTTTTGATACATCTTGGTAATTATGATGAATAATTTCTTCTGTAAAATGGCCTTGGGAGTTTGGACTACAAAATAAACTTTCCCTTGTACTCTTTTTTCTGTTATTCCCTTGTACCAGTAAATAGGTGATGGAATATGTAACCAACTAGGTAGGTTGTTCCTTTTTTTTATCTTTTTCTTGGTGATGCTGTGGTGATGTTGGAAGATGAAGATGATGAACAAGAAGAAGAAATGTTGAAGAAGAATTAAAATAAATATTAGTAGTAAATGATAATAGTGATAATAAATAAATAATAGGGTATATTACAATTTTTGTCTCTTAAGTATTGAAATTACCATTTTTCCCTTCATTATGATGGAGCCGCATTGATGGTGTTAGCATCGGGGATGATTTTTGTAGTGAAACCGCAAAATTCATGTCGTAGCTTGCAACTTTTTGTCCACTGACATCCATGAAAGTCAGGTCATACCCCAATGACTTTTCTTGGAAAAAAAATACTTTTCTTGTACTTTACTCTTATAATAGAATCCTGATAGCTTTTATTGAATCATAATCCAGTAAACCTTTATTGGACACGGAGTCTTAAATGTCCCAGCAGCCTTAAGTGAAGTGTCAAAGATACTTGTTGACTCTTGCTACTTGAAAAAGAAGTAAAAGAGAAATTGTCTTTTTTTGTAACAGACCGTGGTTTGGGGTTTTAATTTTTATATGTAATTTGGAAAAGCAACCTTTAATATTCATGAATGTTCTTTCTGGTGGAAGGGAAGTACCTCAAAATCTTGTTTGGTGAATGTAGGTACATATTTTTTGCTGACAAGGTAGAAATTCAAGACATTAGTGAGAAGACGTGTTTGTTTGCACTTGTTGGACCGAAAAGCAATCAAGTAAGGCTTCCATGAACTTCAACTTGAGATTCCTTCTTATATATATAATCGCATCTTTATCTTCTCAAGGTGCAATAATTCTAATAATGCTATTAATGGCATTGTAACAGGTAATGGTGGATCTGAATCTTGGTGACCTTATTGGACAACCTTATGGCTCACATAAGCATTACAATGCAAGTCATTTCTTTGTGCAGTTTTGTGAGAGTAATTATCATTGTTATTTCTTGAAATCATCTCTTTTCATGTTGTGTCATCGGTAATTCTTGATTACAATTTATGTGTTACCTATGACAATGAGGGGTCTATTTGTTTACATCTTTTTTCACTTCCAGTATTTTGGCTTTATCAAGTTAGTTGGCTACAAGGACCCTCCCACTAGCATAGCAATGGGAGGATTTTGCATGGCCCCTCCTCCACATGGGGTGTCATAAAATGGGTGAGAGGGGGCATTAGAGGGTGATTGTTGAAATTCTATTCAGATTCGAGAAGGATATGGGAGTAGCTCAAATTCATTTGTTATCCCATCTTCTTCTCTATTTTGTTTTTAATTGATTAGTAATTTTTTCCATTTACTTTTTAAACAAAATGTATTTTAAATGTCAACTTGTCAAAAATTCATGAAATATTAAACACAAGGGGTCAAGGCAAATATGTGGTAAATGGTTAGGGGCGGGGCAACATGGGGTAGGAGGGAATTGGGGGCAGGGGGTGACACGCCTCCCATCCCTTCTCGCCTTAAAGGTCCGAGTGGTCCCACCTACTCTATACATCAGTCAAAACAACAAATTGATAACTGAAAATGTTCTAGGTGGTGAATGCTTCAGTTTATATGGTGGGAAAGTAGATTTATAGGTGGAAGTTTAGGACTCACATCTTGTTTGTGCCTACCTTCAAAATTTTGGTGACTATTTAGAAGTGAACAAGCTGAACGTAGACGATGGCTATTTTCATGCTTTATCTGCGCATGCATATTCTTCGTGGGAGATATTTTCTCAATAGTCTATATGCAGGTTGGTGGCAATCCAGTAACGGTGGCAGTGGGAAGTGTCGTCTCTGAAGAAGGTTTCTCACTATTGATGTCACCAGCTGGCGCAGGATTGATATGGAAAACTCTTTTAAGTCATGGTGCAACCCCGATGGGTTCCAATGCATGGGAGACATATAGAATTCTCCAAGGTTAAGTTGTCATTTTACTCTCTTCTTGTATCTTCCTCTGCTGATGTTTAATGCAATCTTCTCCACCAGATGAAAAGAAGTAACAAAGGAGAAAACACAAAAATTGAAACATATTGGTTCTTCCACTTGAGAATAAGAATTCAGTTTGTTTTTTTGTTGGTGCCCCAACTCCTACCCAATAGTGAGTTGAGATTTTAGATCATGACAGTTAAAGATTTAAATCCCCTTTGATTGATTAGGAGATGAAATCTTGTATTGAATCTTGGATTGTGAAATTACAGTAAAAGGGAAAAGAAAGCACAAGATGTACCTAATATTATATTACACTAATGTTATAATGGCCCCTCAACTATGTACAAATGATAACACCCTTTTAAGTCAGGTCATAAGAAAATCACATGGATATTATGCTTGTTTTCTGACTTGCACCCGGTTCTCATGTTCAATTTTAGTACCTTATGGCTTATGCATCCCTAAGGGAGCCTATGCATGAATTTTGGAGGTCTCTGCAAAGTCATGCAGAATATAGGGGGTCTCGTCGTAATGTTAAAATATAAGGGGTCTAGATGTGATATATTATCACGATAACAATGTGCATCTCAAGAAGAAATACTCCATCCTTTTGAAACAAATCAACTGCATCTTGACTTCTGATGTCAAACCTAGTAGCTTTTGAAATACAAAATTGATAAGATAATTCTAATTAATTTACCACCAAATATTTTAGAACTTGCTTTTTGTAATGCTTAGGGGCCCGTTTATCAAACGCTTACCTGGTCCCTTACCTTACCGGATGAACAAGGCAAGGACCGAGAATCTTGCCCTGTAAGAGCGATGACAAGGACCGAGAGTCTTACCCTGTACATGAGGGTGACGATTCTTACCCGATTAGTGCTTACCGGGTAAATTGTTGAATATGATACCATTTCGATGTATTAGAATTATACCCGGTAAGGTAAGTGAGAGTGTTGACTCCTACTTGTAAGTGCTTACCGGGTAAGTGTTTGGGTAAACGACCCCTTAATGTGGCTATCAAGATCTTTCAAAAGATTTAGAACCTGTAACCATGTTACTTACAGTGCAACACATTTCATCGTGCAGTCACTAAATAAATGTCCAGTCAAATCCTCACTCTTATTACATAACTTGATAATTGTATAATACTTAAAAGTACATCATATATTTCTGAAACTTGAGGCAGCTCATATGTTTAAGCAGCTGTTTGTAGAATAATGATGAAATAAGCAGCTTGTACATCATATAAGCAGCTGTTTGTAGAATAATGATGAAATAGAAAAGGCAGCATGGTACTAATAGAACATAAAGAAAAAATGTTATGTACAAATATTATGATATTTATTCAGTTTTCAGAATATCATATGCTTGCAATCCTCTCTTTTGATGTTAGCTTTACAAGCTTTCTTCTATTCTCAAATCCACAGGAAGGCCAGCACCTGGTAGTGAGCTTACAGACGAGTTTAATGTTCTGGAGGCTGGTCTGTGGAATGCAGTATCTTTGAACAAAGGTACATCTATAATTTCTGTATTTTTCTTGCTAACAAATGTTTTTAGTAGTTAACTATAATAATTACCCTCCTCAGGATGTTACAAAGGACAAGAAACCATTTCCAGATTAATCACATACGATGGCATCAAACAGAAGTTGTGGGGAATTCAGCTTTCATCCCCAGTGGAACCCGGCACTCCAATTACAGTTGACGGAAAGAAGGTATAAGTTCTCGGTTCTTATGTTTTAAATTCACACAAGTTAGAAATGCACCCATGTAACCTTGGAATGGTTTAAAGGGTTTCATTCTGGTGGTCAATGGAATCCATCATCTAAGTAAGCCTCGTGGATGTTCCGAATCATATGTTTTGTTTGTGTAAACACAATGCATTGTGGTCCATGCCGGAGGTAACTTGTGTCCCTTTCAAGCCATAAAGGTAGTTTCAACCTCATTTAATGGATTCTTACGAGATCCATTTACTGCAATTTCATGTTGGCGGAAAAGGTCTACAAGGTTAAAATTCATTGTCGCTAAGCATGTAAAGTTTAGCCGTTATGTTATGTTTGGAATTTGATCAAAAGAATATTTAGGACACTCGTTTGATTAGGTACAATTGATTATCGTGAGAAGAAATTTATCAAGAAGTAGGTGCCGATTTATATTTGGTTTCACTACATTGACATCTTAGAAAACGTAAGAAATGATGTAAGATGTTGCTTAGAAAACATAAGAAATGGTTTACACTGGTTCAGTTCCTATTCAATATAATTGAATAATTTTTTTTTTCTCAATCTATGTAACAAAGTTCAAAATTTCTTTTAGTAATTCCAGTTCTTCCCGACCAGGCCGAACTAACTACCCTGCCTAAGGTGAAGTACGGTGGGGGCGCTCTAGAGGGTAGTGTCATACCATTTTTGTAGAATGATTTCTGCGATAAAAACATCGATTATATTGTGACATTTGCAGGTAGGAAAGTTAACAAGTTACACGGCTGGAAAGAGTGGAAACGACCATTTTGGTCTAGGATACATCAAGAGGAAAGCTGCTTCAAAAGGGGACACAGTTGTCGTTGGAGACAATATTTCTGGGACAGTGGTCGAAGTTCCTTATCTTGCACGCCAACGGCCATTGACGTTGAATTCAAAACCTTAGTTCTGAGCATCCAAAAGCGGCTCCTATCTGTTCCATGCTCACTTTCGTTCAGCGTCTACCAAGTAAGTCGAACATCATTGCATTGGTGCTCACTTATCATAGTAGAAAGTATTTAATCTAGGCTGAAAAATTCGTAGGATGTATGATTTGTTATACAAATTGGAGCACAACAAAAGGATAATATGTCTTGAAACTGGTAACTATGTTTCTTGACATTTGTTTTTAACCTATTTCCCATACATTTATCCCTGCTGCTTTGCACACGCTCTCTTGGGTTGTTTTGCAAGCTGAGGGTCTTCACGAAAACAGTTTCGTTCTAGTATACTTTTAGCCAAACAACTAATATTTACTAATTTTGGATTATTTAAATAGCAATCAAATAGTTTGTTCATAACAATAAATGTTTAAACCATAAAGGTGGTGCCTGATTGGTTTGAGCTTGGCTCCAAAGGTCAAAAGTACCCGGAGGTCTCGGGTTCAAATCCAAGGAGGAAAAGAAATCCCCTTGTAGCCACGGAGGTTCAAATGTGGTGACTCCGAGCTATCTACAAAGCAGGTGGTCGTCCTGGGATAAGTCGGCTCGCATAGCGGGTTGGATATCCAGATTAATAATAAAAACAATAAATGTTTATTTATTAATGGTAAAACTTAAAATTATAAATTTAAAAACTTATTTTCAAAAACTCATGTGGAGAATATATAGAGTGAACTAAAATCATAATTGATAAACATGAAAGTCACTTAAAAATTTTCAAAAAATTTAACTTAAACCAATTTCATAATCCGGTTTAATCTCGATTCTAATGGATTTGTGTAGCATTTGTAATTTCGTTGTTATTATTAAAATATAAATTTTGGGATTTATTGAATTATTCAATTGTCAAATTAGAAATATTAAGCTCTTTCGTTAACCCCGTTGGGTTTTATGGTCTAAAAGAATGTTAGATTTGGGAGTTTCGGTTTTTGACAGTCTGGACGGCTTCCTGTGGGTGAAACCGCATGAAAAATCGCCCCGTCTTTGGGTCACAAAATGGTCGGGGCACAGTTGTAAAATGATTGAAGCACGGTTGTAGCACATATGGCACGACCGCAATATCAGCTGTATAAGAGCCTGATTAGCATGGCGGTCGACACGGGTGGCCTGATTGGCACAACGGTCACATATAGTGGAATCAGGTCTTTTCGGTCATCGAAAGATGTGTCTTGGTTTATCCATGTTTTTGGTGTCGTTTTTTGGTACATAATGTACCAATGATTTGACATTCTGGATGTCGTATACTATTCATATTTGTTGTTTTGGAATACTTGAATTTTATCCATGATTTCGGGATTTGAATACCAAGCCTTATACACATTTTGTGTGAGTATCGGGTTTTGGTTTTTATATTAAACCGGGTGCTTCAACCACCAAGTTTTTATCACGAAAATGATGGGTTTAAGAAAAGATGTTGCTTTTATATTAAATACATTTCATTTAGGAAATTGTCATTTAAATACCATTCTCTCAATTTTAGCGTTTGTATTAAAGATGAAAACTGTTTGAACTCACTAGACGTTAAGCCCAACATTTTTCCTTGTCGGCATATGCATCAAGTCCTTGTCGGGGAATAGTACCAGTGACATTGTGGAGCGTTGAATGCTAGTTAGAGGCACGAGAGCTATTCGGGGGCATCTTCTGTATTTTGGAGATATTGCTTGTTATTAAGTTTTAGTAACACTCGTCTCTAACCTAGACTTTATGTAAGGTTCGGTTCATAAATTGTTGACGTTAAATCTTAGATTGCCATCATAGATATCAAGTGTTGACATATAAAAAGAAATTTATTCCTTATTTAACGTGTCATAAAAAAATTAGTCGTTTTTTTTCCAAGTTTTGATGTGTTAAAGGATTGGTCCTAAACCATATTTTTGTTTAATGATTCTGATATATCAAACTCAAACCCTTTTTGCAGGTTTGGGCCAGACATGGATCGGTCTTAACCAGATTTTTTTTATTCAACGAGTCTAATATAATAAACTCAAGCTTTTTTTTACCAGCGTTATAAATTTTTACTGCTCGCCTTACTTAGACTTGTAAATTTCCTTTTCAACTTAAAATAAGACTTGATATATAGATATGGAGCCTCTCTTTTAAGAACCATACAATTTGTAAGATCTGTGAGTTCCAATATAAAGTCGCAAATTAGTTTAGGAAATTAATAATTTTTGGTAATTTTAGATTAAATTTTTAAGTAAAGATTATTATAGATAATTTACAAATTTTCTCTCTCATCTCTTCTCTTTTTTCTTTCCTCTCACTAACAAAAAAATTATCTGAAAAAATAAAATTAAACCTAACAAGTAACCTAACACATTGTGAATGCCTAGTAACCTAACAAGTATCACCAAGTAACTCATCGTGATCACACGTGAACATAATGTGAACACCAAAAATATTAGACCAAAAAACTACAGATCACCAGAAACATTTTGTAAGGACTTTGATACACGCTCTGAACTAAATCGTTAATCGAGTTGGAGCACCCGTCAAGTATCTTCACTGAACACAAAACCAAAAATCTATAGTATCACAATGTAAACCACTATCAAATTGTTTCAATTAAACATTATGACCACCTATTTTTCTCACATTGTAATCACATATTTCTTTTACACGATGTAACACAACGTCACTAAGAACAAAAAAACCTAAGATCCCTAAAAGCATTTTGTAAGGACTTGAATACACATTGTGAACACCTATATTTTTACACATTGTGATCATCTGGTGAACACAATGTGACACATCGACTCTAAGAACCACAAAAAATACTAGAAGTATTGTCTAAGGACTTGGATACACATTGTGAACAATTAATTAATGCTCTATTTGAGAAATTGTAGATTTCTATTTATGGAAGTTATAAATTTTCTATTTATGGGGAGAATAAATTAATCAAAAGCATTTATGAGTTGACTAAATTAACTTTTATTTTTATTTAATAAATAACATAAGTATCTTAAATGAGTGGTTCATGATGGACCTCACGGATCTCACAAATTTTAAGGTCACCTCATCCATTTGCTAATACGGTTGGGTGTATAAAATCAGGAGATGGACCTGTAAGCCAATATAAAGTTCGATTGGTAGTCAAAGGTTTTCTTGAAACATTTAGTCATGTGGCTAAGCCTACTACTATTCCATTGGTGTTATCAGTTGCTTATTCTCGTGGTTGGGACATACGCCAAGTGGACTAAATAATGCTTTCTTACATGGTGAGTTAACTGAAACAGTTTATATGAGTCAACCACATGGGTTTTTTATTCTACTGATTGTGGATATGTGTGTCTTCAGAAAGCCCTGTATGGGTTAAAGCAGGCGACACGAGCATGGTTGGCCAAACTTTCTGGTGCCTTGATTACACTGGATTTTACTCAATGTTTATTTGGTACTAATCTATTTGTGTACTCTTTATTTGCCACCACATGCCTACATTTTGATTTATGTTGATGGTGTGATTATCACAAACAGCTCTTCTAGATTTATTATTGATCTAGTTTATAAACTACATTCTCAGTTTTCCTTGAAAGACTTGGGTCAACTGAGTTATTTTTTGGGTGTATAGGTTACTTCTTCGGAAACGAGACTTTATATCTCAACAACGATATCTTCTAGATCTTTTACACCGGACTGAGTCAAGTAAATGCCAGCCTCTATCGTCTCTAGTTTCACCTGGCCGTCAATTGTCCAATTTTATGGTGTGCCATTATTTGATTCATCAATATATCGCAATACTGTTGGGGCTCTATGTATCTTGTTCTTACATGTCTAAAAATTGCCTATGTTGTTAGTAAAGTTTCTCAAATTTTACATTACCTAACTGGCAGACATTGGATTGTTGTAAAGCGTATGCTCCGCTACTTACTCACACTTATGGTTTACTGATTCAAAAATCTCCATTCACTGTTATTCATACATATGCTGATGCAGACTGTGAAGATTGTCCTGATGATAGATGTTATATCAGTGGATATTGTATATTCTTGGGCCCAATTTAGTCAGTTGAAGTTCGAAGAAATAGCATATTGTGGTGCATTCTAGTACTAAGGCAGAATATCGTGCCATAGCTCATGTTTTTGTCGAGTTCGTTGGCATTTATCTTTAATCCAAGAATTACAGTTAGATTTTAGATGTGCTCCTACCTTGTGGCGCAATGATATTGGAGCAACCTATTTTGCTATGAACTCGATCTTCCATCAAAGGACAAAACATATTGAGATTGATCTACACTTAATTTGCGATAAGATTTTGTCCAAACGACTTGTTATTCGTAATGTTAAAACTGCGTTACAGATTACTGAGATATTGACCAAGGGTCTAACCGCTTCTTGATTTACTATTTTGAAATCCAAGCTTCTCATCCTTTCGGATGTTAGCTTTGTTAAAACCAAATATTGTAACAATGAGAGGAACCTAATGCTCGACCACTTTATTTTGAAATCCAAGCTTCAAAAACACATCCAACTTCAGGGGTTTATTCATAATATCTATAACTTGCTCCATTGTTCCACAAAAGATAATGATCAAATCCCGTTCCTTGGTAAGATATCGGACGTAATGAAATCTTATCTTGATATACTTTGTTCTCCCATGGAAAACTGGTAGGGCAGGGTGGGTCTAGGCGTTTCTCAAGCCCTAAGCGAGAAGATAAAATAATGTCTCCACTATTAAAAAACTACAGATGAAACATACTATTTTTTAAAGGGTTTGGAACCCAGCTAAGCTGGACATCTCATACCTAAGCCAATTTTTGTTATTATTATTGAATGATAATTTATTTTTTGTAATGCATATCTTTTGATTATATAACATCAGAATGTAATATCAAGTTAAATTGAACTTTAGAAACTTGCATATAATAATAGTTGTGCTCAAACTAATTGTATACGACCATATAAAGATGTTTAATTTGTCTTAACATTTAGGAAAACTTAATACTATATGTGTATCATATTTTTAAACATCTAAACATCCTTAAGTAAAGAGTGTTATGTAGTTTAAACCTATGTTGTTATAGCGGTGAAAATACAAATTTGCGGTCGAGACCGATATTTGAAATAATAGTTATAGCGAGGGGTGTTTAAAAACCCGATCAACCCAACCCAAAAAATTCTAAAAAAACCCCAACCCGAGGTAACCTGATGCATGATTGATCAAAAAATTAGCCAACCCGATTCTATTAGGTCGGAATTGGGTCAGACCCAAAAGAACCCGACCCAACC